AAAAGCATTTTCATTGAAGTCTATGGAACAAAAAACACAAACTGCTGCTGGCAAAAAAGTTCCTGAGCCATTCCAGAAAATGCAGTGGATGAAAATGGAAAGATGTGAATGTGACTCATAGGAACTCATGTTCAACTGTAGTGCATTTCTACAAATTTGTAAACGCACTGTAAAACGCATAGCTATGAACCTAATTTATAATAGGGAGATATTCTGTGAAGTATAAATATTGTCCATTAGATGGCAATGTCTTCCATTCAGATCCTGTGAGTTGGCGCAGACGACTTCTAATTGTGTGCTGTGTATCATCTGGGAATTTAGAGTGGTCACCCGGCCGGAATTCTTGTAGTTAAAAATGCACTCTGAGTATTATAACACATGGCCTAAGAAGATAGCCTCACAGCGAGACCTTGAATAGTAAACCGTCACTGTAATGGCCATAACTGGCAGAAAATCGTGGCCTTTGTAAAGGTGCCTGTTTGGAACACTGTGCTACATCATTCCATACATGGATTTTTCATCATGTTTTCAGTTATTACAATCATGTATTTTGTGTACTGAAATGTAAAATGCATTGGAGTTGATTTAAAGGGGTACAGGCAACTAAAGTTCCATTCACACCTGCGTGTTTTGTAAACTCGTGCAAAATTGTGCCTTTATGTGTGCATTATCAAAGCATGCTTAGAACGTGTGTCGCATTTATAGTGCCATTCATTGTTAATGGCACCGCAAACACAACAAGAAGCCATGTGGAAAAAACACGACAAAACGTACGGTAAAAAATGTGCAAGGCTCAACATCGCAAAAATGTCCATATTCAAGTGAATAGGTCTGCGCCGCAACTGCATGCTATACACCAGCACAAAAAATTAAAAAAATATACTTGATACTTCTAGGTCACACATTTATTTGTCTCTGATGCAAACCGGTCAGGCTGTGCAAGTCATGACGGACCTATTATGGATTTCTTACAAGACTGAGAAGTATCACTCTCATGGCATTATGGAACATTATGTTTGCTTTGGTTGGATATGGTTACATGTATTAGGAAGCCACATTTGCTATTTTTTATATGCCCCTGTTTCACAGTTGGACTAACCAGTATATATATATTCCGTATGCTGACGAATCAAGCTTAACCACTTCCCGTCCGGCCCATGTTGATAAGCGGCCAAACGGGAGCACTGCCAATGCGGGCAGATATTTCTAAACATCCCCCTGCCTCCATTGCCTGTGTGCACCCCCTTGGAGCACGCGGCACCGCGATTGGTGCCCACTGTATCCTCCTGACACAGCGGAACACAGATCTGTGTGAGGTCCAGATTCATGTGATCACTGATTGGCCAATCAGTGATCACCAGGGCCGGACTGAGCATTTGGAAACTCAGGCACTGCCTGAGGGCCCTGGGTCAGTAGGGGGCCCCATGAGATGCCCCTGGTACCTTTTTCATAGGCTTTTTTGAGTTTGGGCAAGGGCACAGGGGTCCCATGATCCCCTATTGCTCCGAGGCCCCATGAGTTGTCAGTCCGCCCCTGGTGATCACATGAACAGTAGTAAACAATATGTCACTTCTGACATCATTGCTTACTACGTGTGAAATCTGTGAATGATCACAGAGGTCACATGGTACAAGGCTAGTCACAACAGCCTTGTATCACGTGACAAGCTGTGACCAATCACAACTCTCACAGTATTTCTCAATGGCTGAAGGAATGCAGCTAGAGAGAAAGAGAAATGATTGCTTTTACAGCCTTCATGGATGTAAAAGCAATCAGTGTAAAAAAAGAAAAAGAAAATCTTCATCACCCCCCATAAGTAGTACAGCGTCACTATGGTGACACTGTACTGCTAGGGTGACAGTATGTAAAAAAAAAAAAAAAAAACAAATAATATAAAAATGTAAAAAAATGTTTGGCTATAAACTAATTTGGGTTTTTTTTTTTTTGTGTTTTTTTTTACCAAAAAGATAAATGAATACATTTTGGCCAAGATTTATGAAGAAAGATTATTTATTTGCTAAATTTTATAAGAAAGACACTTTTTTTTCACAATTGTTGGACTTTTTCATTTACAGTGAAGGATTATTTGATCCCCTGCTGATTTTGAATGTTTGCCCACTCACAAAGAAATGATCAGTCTAAAAATCAAATGGTAGGTGTATTGTAACACTGAGAGACAGAATAGCAACATCAAATTCAAAAGAAATGCATGTTTAACAAATTATGCATTGATTTGCATGTTCATGAGGGAAATAAGTATTTGATCCCTTATCATTCACATGATTTCTGGCTACCAGGTGTCTTTCATACAGGTAACAAGCTGAGATTAGAAGCAGTCTCTTAAAGGGAGTGCTGCTAATATCATTTTGTTACCTGTATAAAAGACACCTGTCCACAGGAGCAATCAAACAACCAGATTCCAAACTCTCCACCATGGCAAACATCATAAGCTGTCCAAGGATGTCGGGGACAAGATTGTAGACCTACACAAGGCTGGACTGGGCTACCAAACTATCGCCAAGCAGCTTGGTGAGAAGGTGACAACAGTTGGTGCAATCATTCGCAAATGGAAGAAACACAAAATACCTCTCAGTCTCCCTAGGTCTGGTGCACCATGCAAGATCTCACCTCATGGAGTGTAAATGATCATGAGAACAGTGAGGAATCATCCCAGAACTGAATCTGAGTCAATTATCTCCAGGTAGCTGGGACCACAGTCACCAAGAAAACAATTGGTAACACACTACGCCGACAAGGATTGAAATCCTGCAGTGCCCACAAGGTGCCTCTGCTCTAGAAAGTACATGTCCAGGCCCGTCTGAAGTTTGCCACTGAACATCTGAATGATGCAGAGGAGGACTGGTTGAAAGTGTTGTGGTCAGATGAGACCAAAATCGAGCTCTTTGGCATCAACTCAACTCGCCGTGTTTGGAGGAGGAGGAATGCTGTCTATGACCCCAAGAACACCATCCCAACTGTCAAACATGGTGGTGGAAACATTGTGCTTTGGGAGTATTTTTCTGCTAAGGGGACATGACAACTGCACCACATCAAATGGACGATGGATAGGCAATATACTGTCAAATCTTGAGTGAGAATTTCTTCCCTCAGCCAGGGCATTGAAAATGGGTTGTGGATGGGTGTTCCAGCATGACAATGACCCAAAACACACAGCCAAGGCAACAAAGGAGTGGCTCAAGAAGAAGCACATTAAGTTCCTGGAGTGGCCTAGCCAGTCTCCAGACCTTAATCCAATTAAAAATCTGTGGAGGGAGCTAAACGTTCGAGTTGCCAAACGTCAGCCACCAAACTTTAATGACTTGGAGAGGATCTGCCAAGAGGAGTGGGCCAAAATCCCTCCTGAGATGTGTGGAAACCTGGTGGCCAACTACAGGAAACGTCTGACCTCTGTGATTGCCAACAAGGGATTTGCCATCAAGTACTAAGTCATGTTTTGTGAAGGGGATCAAATACTTATTTCCCTCATGAACATGCAAATCAGTGCATAATTTGTTAGACATGCATTTCTTTTGAATTTTTTGTTGCTATTCTGTCTCTCAGTGTTACATCAACCATTCGATTTTTAAACTGATCATTTCTTTGTGAGTGGGCAAACAGTCAAAATCAGCAGGGGATCAAATACTTATTTCCTTCACTGTATATAGCAAAAAATTTAAATCCCAGTGGTGAATATATACCACCAAAATAAATGCAAAAATTCATATGGGTACAGTGTTGCATGACCGCGCAATTGTCATTCAAAGTGTGATAGCACTGAAAGCCTGGACAAGAAGAGGGTGAAAGTGTCCAGACTTGAAGTGGTTAAGGGTCCTTTCAGACGGCGTAGACCTGTTTATATGTGATTTTGCACACCCCTGCCACCCTGTAGCAATATATCTGTTATAGGGCGAATAATAAATGAAGTATTTTGTATGTTAATGATATCTGTCGATGTTTTTCTTACTTTTATACAATGGTTGAAAAAGTGATTTGGGTAGAGGTATGGAACTAAATCCATTTTTCCTTTTTTTTTTTGTTTTTTGAAAATACTATACACTAGGCTCACAGTTGCAGGGGGGTATTCAAGCAGCCCTTTCGGCTTTCAAAAAAAAAAAAAGCATTCAGGAGTGGGGCAATATCATCTCCTGAGCGCCTGTCGGACGCACTTGCACTATAAAAAGCAATTTACTACAGATCGACCTTCACAAAGCAACACAAATGTAAATGAGCCCTTATAGTTTGAAGATTCACAACGTCTCTATGGTTATTCAGCCTCCATGTCTTCTGTTTCATTGAGGATTATGGGCGGTAGCGCTGTGGCTCTGGTAGTAATTCCAAGAACTCTCAGCTTACAACAAGAAGAGCTTCAGTCAGGTTCGTTAGCTTTGCCCCCACCTTCAGTGTTGTCTTTATGGTGCCTGGGTGGGTAACCATGCACCTGCCTTGATGTACAGTGAACCCACACATGTGCAAATGTGTCACAGGGCAGTTTGGAACTGAAGTCCTGCAGCATATTTGCACATGTTCAGAATTCGGGAGGGGTGTTCCCAGACGTCATTCTCGCCTAGGTGAAAAATGTGGGATTGCAGCTCAATAGATGGTTTAAAAATAAATAAATAAATAAAATATCTTACCTAATGAGAAAAAAGGGGAAGAAGGTAGGGCATGAGGACACCAGGTTTAGGGTGAAGGCTTGCTTTAACCCAGTGGTCTCCAAACTGCAGCCTGGGGGCCAAATGCAGCCCTTTGCTTGGTTTTATCTGGCCCTTGGGACACTATTTAATTCACTGACACCAATGAAAGGCATAATTCCTCCTAATGACACCAATGATAGTCAAATTTCTTCCAATGAAATACATGTTGGGGCATAGTCCCCCCCCCCAATGACACCAACAATGGGGCCCAACCAGGGGCGGACTGACAACTCATGGGGCCCCCGGGCAATAGGAGATCATTGGGCCCCTGTGTCCTTGCCCAAACTCAAAAATCCTATAAAAAAGGTACCAGGGGCATCTCATGGGGCCCCCTACTGACCCCGGGCCCTTGGGCAGTGCCCGAGTTTCCAAATGGTCAGTCCACCCCTGGGCCCAATGACACCAATGAAGGGGCACAATACCTCCTAATGACACCAATGATGAGACACAATTCCTCCCACTGTCACAAAATGATAGGAGATAGTTTACTCCCACTGATGCTGGAACATTTTGTATTCCTGTTGACCATAGTTCGGCCCCCCTAAAGACTGAAGGACAGTAAACTGGCCCTTTGTTTAGAAAGTTTGGAGACCCCTGCTTTAACCTTTTGGACATCCATAAATAGGAAGAACAATTCTAGAGCTCAATGATATTAACCCCTTCACGCCGGATCGTCCCGGCGTGAAGAGGAGTTCGTGCGCCGGGAGGTGGGCGGGACGGGCGTGGCTTAGTGTCATGTGGCCCCGTGACATCACGTCACGGCCGGTCACATGATCGGGAAAGGTCCCGATCGAAAGAACGGCCTGGGACCTTTCCGTGAGTACCTCACATGTGTGCTGGGAGCGCACGCTCTCAGCACATATCTTTTTTGCTACATGAATGCAAATGTGCGCAAATGCTCAGACGCCGAAAGTTTTGCGTGCGGCCGGCGCGAAGGGGTTAATGAGTCTGATTTTACCAGGAAATCCTTTGCAGCTAATTATAACTGAGACAATGAGAAGCGAGGAGGTTTACATTGTAAGGATGTGTGAACTCACTCCTCTTCAAGGTAAAGAAAAAAAAAACCAAGTGCAAGGCACACATGTCTTTTGACGCTTTACTTTTAGAAAAGTCTGACATAATCATGACATCACCCTGACTCTGTCTGTTGTTTATCACAGCAGGAAATGTGGATTTTTGTAATGTTAGTGCCACAATGGAAACTCTTACCTGGAAATCAGAACATTGCTAAAAAATATATACTGTACATAATTCAACTTTTTCATTTAACCCCTTCCTGCCCATATGGAAGAAAAATATATTTTAAAAATGCTCTTCCCAAATATATTGCCATATATTTGAAATGCTACAATTTTGGCCATATTCAATATATTTAAAAATATATTTCAATAAATAAATACATATATATATATATACTGCATGTCTTTAAAAATACAAATCTACATTTTTGGAATGCATTTACAAATATACGTAAAAATATATGTTAAAATGACTTTTTTATATTTTAAAAAAAATCTGAAGAATATATTTATTTTTAAAAAATATCTATTTTTTTTAAAATATATCCTTCAGAACCCTTGACCTCTGTCTGGACAGTGCTGATTGGCCCTGTACAAATCACATGCACTCTTCCAAGAGAAAAAAAAAAACCCCTGTCTACCAATACACACCAAACTGAGCATGTGCAGTGTATCGCCACACGATATGTTTTATCAGGAGATAAGAAGGGGACACTGGAAGAAGGGGAGGATCAGAGAAGTCAGGATCCAACAGTCTTTTTACACAATGCAGAGGATTAACCCCTTAGATCCCACAGTGATTATAACAAGCATGCCTTACTGCATATACAGACTGATTTTACTGTTGTGGGTTTAGAAACACTTTTAAAAATACATAGTTTAGAAAAAAATGCAATTCTACAAAAAGCGTAAAAATGCAGCTTGGAAAAAAATTCAGTCAGAAAATTGCAATTCATTAATATTGTAGTTTAGAAAAATGGGGTAAAAAAGCAGGTAAAAAATGCAGTTCAGAAAAATCACAGCTAAAAAAGTAAACAAAAATAAATGAGGTAAAAAAAAAAAAACAATTAAAAGAAAATGTGGCTCAAAAAAAGTTTTTTAAAACAGTAGTAGACAACACAATGGTTTGTAAAATCTGTAGTTAAAAAAGCGGGTAAAATAAAGCAGTTTAGAAAAAAAAATTTGGTTAAAAATGTGTGGTTCAGTAAAAACACAGTACTGAAACAAAACAGGAAATTTCTATGATACTTAGTACCAGCTAGTGGTTTTAAAACAATGAAAAATGTTTATCCAGCACAGGAAATAGCCTAATATCATCACTTGCTTGCCCATTCTCACAGAGCAAATGTACATGAACTTCAACTGTGTGAATTGCTCTGCCTTTTTATTTTATTAATACACTCCAAAGTGTTATATCCTAATTTACACAAAACATTTGGTTAAAATGTCATTCATAAAAAACGTGGGTGGTTAAAAAAACATAGTTTAGAAAAAAATGCAATGCTATAAAAGGTTAACCGCCTTCCACCCACCATATAGTAATATGATGGACGCAAGGTGGTTCTCTCGTTCTGGGAGGATGTCATATGACCTACCAGTGCCTGCCCATCAGTACCACCTATCAGTGTCCATCAGTGCAGCCTCATCAGTGAAGGAGAAAAATCACTTATTTACAAAATTTTATAACAAAAGCTAAGAAAAAACTTTTTTTTTTTCAAAATTTTATAAAAATAAAAAACCCAGAGGTGAATAAATAGCACCAAAATAAAGCTCTATCTGTCACAAAAAAATGATAAAAATTTCATATGGGTACAGTGTTGCATGACTGCGCAATTGTCATTCAAAGTGCAACAGCGCTGAAAGCTGGAAATTGGCCTGAGCAGGAAGGGGGTATAAGTGCCCTGTAGGCTAGTGGTTAAAAGATATTGCAATTCGTAAAAAATGGTGTTTGGAAAAAAAATGGGTAAAAAGCAGGTAAAAAATGTGGTTCAGAAAAAACAAAAGAGATCAAAAAAGTAAACAAAAACAAGGTTAAAAAAAGGGGGGTGAGGGTCATGCTAATAAGTAAAATATGTGGCTCCAGACAAAAAAGTTTGTAAACAGCGGTAAACAAAACAACAGTTTGAAAAAAACCTGGGTAAAAAAAGCAAGTAAAAGAAAGTGTTTAGAAAAAAACATGGTTAAAAATAGTAAAATATCTGCGATACTTAGCAGCAGCTACTGACTAAATGCACTATTTTTGGTTTTAAAACAATGAAAAATGTTTGTCCAGCACAGGAAATAGCCTAATAACAGTCACTTGTTTGCCCATTCTCACAGAGTGAATGTACGTGCACTTTCACTGGGTGTTGCCCATTCTCACAGAGTGAATGTACGTGCACTTTCACTGGGTGTTGCCCATTCTCACAGAGTGAATGTACGTGCACTTTCACTGGGTGTTGCCCATTCTCACAGAGTGAATGTACGTGCACTTTCACTGGGTGTTGCCCATTCTCACAGAATGTGCAACTGGGTGTTGCCCATTCTCACAGAGTGAATGTACGTGCACTTTCACTGGGTGTTGCCCATTCTCTTAGAGTGAATGTACGTGCACTTTCACTGGGTGTTGCCCATTCTCTTAGAGTGAATGTACGTGCACTTTCACTGGGTGTTGCCCATTCTCACAGAGTGAATGTACGTGTACTTTCACTGGGTGAATTGCTCTGCATTTTTTTTTTTTATAAATAAACCCCAAAGTGATGTATCCTAATCCACACAAGCAAATAATAAGACGCTAACATTGATTCCTCATCAATGGATGCAACAAAAAAGATTGTGACTTGCCTGCTTTTACCCACCGCTGTGATAAAATATGACATTTGTGTTATAAGGCTCTGAAGCTTTCAAAGAAAACCCTTCAGGAGTGTAAGTAAAAGTGTTAATTGGTTGTGTTTAATGATTTCAGTTGCTTATTATTTCAGAACGACGCAGTACTTTTTTTATAATTAAATCATTGATGTCAAGTCGGGTTTTATGATCAGTTTTGATTTCGCTGCAGGCAATATCAAATTCATGAAATGAGTTATAGAAAGGAAAAACACCTGGGATGAATATTTTCTTTTTTTTTTTTCGTAACCAAACCCCTAAACTTCTTGTTGTGGTTCATACAATACAAGTGATTGCTGTTTTTGTGTTATGTTGGTTGCTTTTCATATGAATGTAGAAAAAACAGTTCTAGTTCTCTGTCCTGTATGGGGGAAGCAACCCAACAATAAATACTAAAAGAGTTCAATATTTTTTAAATACATTCTTTTTTACATACATTAGGAAAGAATAAAGCTGGCCACAGATCAGTCATTTATTTTTTATTTTTTAGATCAGCCAGAGGGCGATCGAACAAAAAAATGCACATGGAATCCTCCGTGCTGTGCTATTGCTTTCTGACAGCGGGGACTCCTCCTCTGTTAGAGTACTCTGATCAGCAGTGCAGCTATTGATCGAGTTAAACATTTCCAATATCCCATTTGACAGAGGTTGATCAGGAACAACTATTGAGGGACTGGAATTTGGCCGGTCCCCGCTGAACCCCAGCTTAGAGATTCATGCAGACTTACCCTAGGTTCACACCTAAGCATTTTCTGCAGCATTTTGCAGAAATGCAGTACAGTCCATTTAACATGATTTCCTACGGGACATGTTCACATCTGTGTGTTTTCACCCGGTGCGTTTTTTGGAAAGGGTCAGGGACTTTTTTGAACACAAAAAGTTGTGTTTTTGGTTCTATAGACTTCAATGGAAATGTTGCAGAAAAACATGTATTGTGTTTTTGAGGCATTTTGCGGTTTAAATCTGCCTAGCAACAATAAAAATAAATAAGAATGAAAAAAAAAGCAAAACGTATCAAAAACGCAAAGCGCAATGCAGAAACGGCTCAAACGCAACCTGTATCGGTGTGAACCTAGCCTTAGTGTTTAGCCCCGGTTCAGGAGACTCAAGCGTAGGTGCAGGGGAAGGCAGAGGCACACCATCCAACCCTACTGCCAGCAGCTTGTAAAACCTTATGACAGTCTGAAATGATCAATATTTTTTCTAATCGATCTGTCCCAATAGGAATAATCATTCTACAGTTGCAAGAAAAAGTATGCGAACCCCTTGGGATTACGTGGAGTTTTGCATGAATTGGGCATAAAATGTGCTCTGAACATCATCTAAGTCACAACAATAGAACATAATACTACACAAACATTAGATGTTGCCATGGTTTAATTGCACATAACATGTAAACATTCACAGTGCAGGGAGGAAAAAGTATGTGAACTTTTGGACTTAATAACTGGTTGACCCTCCTTTGGCAGCAATAACCTCAACCAAACATTTCCTGTAGTTGCAGATCAGACCTGCACAATGATCTGGAGTAATTTTGGACCACTCCTCTTCACAAAACTGTTTCAGTGTAGCAATATTCTTGAGATGTCTGGTGTGATATGCTCTCTTAAGGTCATGCCACAGCA